CAGCACATCTTCCTGACCAGCTCTCTCTGCAGTTACCTGTTAGGAAGAATTGTGGACTTAGCCATTAGCGTTAACCCTTAATCCGCCGGTTTCCCCCCGCAGCTCGTAAGGGAAAACTCACATGCGACACACATCGCCTTTTGTATCCGGGAGATTTACGCGGAATGCACAGCGTCGAAACAAGCCACCCGTCCCAACTAGTCCGTGCCGTTGTTTATACTCCACACAAGTCTCCACCTATTTGTTACTCCCTCCCACACCCTTCTATTCCCCTCTTCCTTCTATTCCCCTTTCCCTAGTGTGAAGGTCTAGCTTCCTTTTGAATGTATCTACATTGTATTTGATTCAACCACCACTTCAGGCAGCGAGTTCCACACTCTCACTACCCTCCACATGAAGTAGTTACTCCGAAATTCTCTTTGTGGATTAGTCGCTATCATATTTTTCTCCCCTGATTTAAGCGAGGTCTCCTTGAAGCTGAACTGGTGACACGCCTGGCAACGGAATGTCGGAATCGAGCCAGGCCTCTCTGGCGGTCTCTCGTCCGGTCCTGAGCCAGGCAGATCCGCAATATTCAAGGGCACTATTGATTACAGCACAGCCTGACTCATCGGTAGGACTTGGAAGGGCAGATCAATCACTGTGGGCAGGGAATCATCCCACTCAGCTCCTCTTAACCCCACAAGCCAAAGCCCTCTCGGATAGGGTGGTTCTAGCCGGACAAGCACAGAGACTCTTAAACAGTGATGGGTAAAATCTGCAGAAATACTGTTGTCGTATTGTATTACAGTGAGCGAGTAGTAAATTTATGAATTTATGCAACAGACTCCCCAGGGGGCAGGTGGAGTCCTGTAGCTCAGTGGTTAGAGCATTTGCTACGAAAGCGAGAGGACCTGGGTTCGATCCCTGGCAGGGTGAAAAGTAGGGCAAGTTTCCTTAGTCCACATTCCTGTTTACGTGGCAGTAAGTAGGAACCCAGTTGTTAGTCGATTGGCAAATCACTTTTCCGGGGGTAGTAATCCCTTCAAAGAGAAAATAATAATTTGGTCACTCAATCCACGACTGTTTGTGGGACAGTCTGTGTGGAATTGGCTACCGTGTTTCGCCCATAAAATAATCAATTCACTTATTGTGTGAAGCGCTTTGAGACATCTCAAAGATGTGATAAGGCACTATATCAAATGTAAGGATTATTATTATTATCGTAAGCAGAAAGTGTCGAATCTTTCAAAAGAAAATCAGCTAGATTGCTTTTAGGAAATAATATCTTGGGGATACAGTATATAGTTTGGGACACAACATCTCGAGCCACTGCCAGGATGGTGGAAGGCGAACTGGATGGACCTTGGTCTTCTTTCATCGAGCAAATTCTTCAGGTCTAATCGTTCTATCGGTGCTGAAATCCTCGATCACCTTGGCAAGCTTGCATTACCAAGGAATCATGACCTGCCTCACTCACACAGACCGGTACTGGTGCAACCAGTCATACGACTGCTAATGTATTCTTAAATAATGGAATATTGATCCGATCCCATCAACAAAGCCCTGTTTCATTGATCTTGTAATATTTCCTCTAATCTCATGACAAATAGGGATGTCACCGTCTAACGATATGACAATATATTAGTCGTTATAAACCATCTGTTAATTGCATTATCCATTCTTTCCATAATTTGGGGGCTGTTGTTGACGTTTTAACGTGACCATTTGCCGAGCACTATCTCCTCCCCACCCCCCCCCCAACCACCCAAACCCATTCGCATCATCGATGCAGAATATTAACTTGCCTTGCATGACCACATGGAGGCGTTGTTGTTGGCTCCTCTGTGCCTTCTCTGGCTGCTGGAATCCGTGTCCCATTATCACACGGCTGATTGGAGAACTTTACCTCTGTGACGGGCAAAGTCCCTGGGATGGTCCCGTGCAAAGTTCCGTTGGTGCAACCAAAGGGTGAGGCGGTCATCCTCACAGCCCAAGTCAGGGAAAGGGCAGTTGTGAGTGAGTGAGTGAGCCTTGAAGACATAGATTGGTGATTGGGAAAGTGCAGCTGTTGATGATAATGACTTAAATGAGTGGGTGATGATCAGTGACAGAGGCGCAAAGTGTCCAAAGAGACAGCCTCAATACAAGGAATGGGGTGTTTACAGTGGAAGGGAACAGTGTTAACAGAACTGTTCTGACGAAAGGTCATCGACCTGAAACACTGAGTCACTCTCCTCTCTCCATAGATGCAGTGTGACCTGACATCTCGCCATAGATGCTGAGTGTTTCCAGTGACTTAGAATTTTATTTTAAACTTGGAAGCAGAAACTATTTTCTTAGTAGAAAGATACAACACAGAAACAGGCCATTCAGCCCAACCTTCTCCATCTCCATATCTGTTAAAATTGCCTGGCCCTCTCCAACAACCCTCTATTCCCTTCTCCTTCATGTGCAAATCAAGTTACCTCCTAAATACTTGTATGTTGATGCTTTCTTTGCTTCTGCCAGCGAGTCACCTTCTTACCACCCTCTGCATGAAGAGGTTTCTCATAAATTCCTCATTAGATCTCACACTGGCTCTCTTCTATTTAACGGCCCTGGGTTTTGGTCCAATTGTTTTGATAATGGGTATGAGAATGCTAACCTGGGTGTGAATTGCAGATGAGAAGGAACAAGGTTATAATAATATTAATAATGCTTCCATTTGACAAAGCGTCTTATCACGACTTCGAGACGTCTCAAAGAGCTTCACAGGATATACTGTAAAGTGAATTGAATGCATATTTTGTGGGCGAAATGCGGCAGCCAATTACACACAGCAGCGTACCACAAAGTCGTGGAGCGAGAGACCAAGTTATTATTTTTTTGAGGGATTATTACCCCTGGAAAGCGATCCGCCAATCAACTAACAACCGGATTCCTACTTACTGCTGGGCAAACAGAGGTGTGTGGAGTAAGGAAACGTACCTAAGGTTTCGTCCTGCTCGGGAATCAAACCCGGGTCCTTTCGCTCGCGCTCTAACCGCTGAGCTACAGGACTCCATAAGCGTCCCAGGAACAGAAGCGCTGAGCATCAAATGGGCCTGAAACTAGACTTTTGAGGGTTCTTTTGGGGACAGAAACGTTACAGTAATTGTATCGTAAATAAATAACAGACAGACAGTGCCAAGCCTCAAAGCGTTTAATAATTAAAAGTGGCTGAATCTCGGCGCTATGTAAAAGTTCTCGATTAATATACAGTGGATTAGAAAGACGATTGCTTCCCTAGATACTTATTTAAAATGTAACGCAGGAGTTAATAACGTAGTAAATCAAAAAGCCCAGCAAAATCCTGGGCTGCCACATTCAGCAGTTACATCAGCCTCTTAATGTATTTGAGGTTCAGTCAGGGGCAGTTCACATTCTCCAGTGCCCACACTTCAAGGGGCATTGCCCCAGAACCTCTCCTTGCAAGGAGGCTGCAAGATTCATCACTCAACGAGTGTTGAACATCTCTCTCACGCGTATGCACAAACACACATACACATTCCCACACAGATTATATTGTACTAGTGCCAGCAATTATCTCTCATCTCATCTCTTCCCGCAATCCCCCCCCACCACCCAACCCAAATTCATTACGCACTCGTCCACATCCATACTTAGTGTCTTAAGTTGTCGCGGCCTCTATTCATTCTACGCCCGGACTCTTACAATTATTAGTGTCTTAAAAATGTCAGCGCTTTGAACATAAATTATTTTAACTTTTGAAGTGATGTTCAATGGTATGAACTGTTGTAAATTCAGCTCCTCCCCCAACCCATTCCTCAACTCGAGTACTGAAGTTGGGTAGCCCACGCTCTCTGGTATCTGGCCCAAATGCCCACTCGTTGTGTGTGAGCCAAGCCCAGGGAGTGTCCCTGGCCTATTTGACCGTGGGATGAGCTGTGATGGTGGTGGGGTGGGTTGGGGTTTGTGGTGGTGGGGGGGGGGGGGGGGGGCAGGGGAACAGGAGCACAGAGCAGCCCCAATCCTGTCCTTCCCTGCAGTGAGTTACTGGACACTGTGGAGAAGAATGGAGAAGAATCCTTGGCTGATCTTTCTGCCTGGCCCAGGAGAGCTGAGGCCAATTGTGTCAACCCTTAACTCCTGGATTGGCAAAAGAGAAATTAGAACCTGGAGTGATGTGCTTAACCTTGAGCAGAAGCACCTAAGAATTTGCTAGAGGATGAAAGAAGACCAAAGTCCATCCAGTTCACCTTCCACCATCCTGGCAGTCACTTGCACATGTCATGTCCCCAAACTATATATTGTTTGTATCCCATAAGAATAGAAGAGAAACAGAGGGAATTGGCCGGGAGCCAATGTGGGTGTTGAGATGGTGATCACTCGATGACACTCACTGTGAACGTTGGGATTCCTCTGTCCACGTCAACGTCCACACGCGTCAATTTCCCCAATGGGGATCTCTTAACTACATTGAGGAGTGACAATTCCCTCACCCTCCTCTCCTCTCCCTGCCTAGCCCATCAACAGAAACTCTGCAATCAGGGAACTCAGCACATGTCAGGGATAGAAAGCAGGACCTTCCTGGTATTTACAGATCAGCTTCTCAGTGAATAAAGTCTCCTAGCCCCTGAGGGATTGGGGGAGGGGTGTGGGGGTAACTCGCATTTATATGGACATTATTCTAACTCAGTTTTTGTCCCAAGTCACACAGGAAGGTAACATATGGGGAATATAATAATAATCTTTGCATTTGATGTAGCGCCTTATCACGTCATTGAGACGTCTCAAAGCGCTTCACAGGATATACAGTAAAGTGTAGTGACTGTGTATTTTGTGGGGGAAACGCAGCCGTCAATTGCACACAGGAGTGTCCCACAAACAGTCGTGGATCGAGTGACCAAATCGACTAACAAGCGTGTTCCTACTTACTGCTAAGTAAGCAGAGGTGTGCGGAGTAAGGAAGCGTGCCTAAGGTTTTGCCCCACCCGGGAATTGAACCCGGGTCCTCTCGCTTGCGAGGCGAGCGCGCTAACCATTACGCTACGGGACTCCATGAAGGAACAAAAAAAAATACACTGAACAAGGTTGTCAGCAAAGTTCACTCATCAGGTTGTAAAGCACGTGACTCGCTCTGTTAGCTCCTCGCCATCTTATATCAATCACAAGTCTTCAAAAAACAAAAAAAGCGAGGAGGGAAGAGATCACGGGAGGAGGAGAGACACGAGAGGTCACTCGAAAGTGAAGGGGTCGCTGGTGCTGAAGAAAAAATGGCTGTCGATGTGGTCTTCCAAGGCCTGGTTTTTGTACTCGGAGGGAAAATGCTGCTTACAGATCGGACACTCTTTCCACAGGCTGGCGGCCGTCGATTCCTCCGCTTGATCCCTGTCCAACGCTTCATGCTGGGATCTGGGAGGCAGCCCACGGCAGCTGCTGAAAGAGAAAGATGGCGCTCGCTGAGTAACATCTCCAGCACTGCGATTCATAAATATTATGAATATCATTCCCATCACATTTTATTCACAAATGGCATCCTTTTGCCCCCGCAGAGAAGAGGGAATCTAATGATGCCGAAAATTGGTTCTGAAACATTTTGACAGGGCTCTATATCTTCCCGGCTCTCTCTCTCTCTCTCTCTTTTTATTCTGTGTGTGTGTGTGTGTGTGTGTGTGTGAGTGTGTGCGTACTCCGTGTTTTACAGCGCTCTGCTATAAACTGTATTTCATCCCTTTACAGAATAGATTTCAATTTTAACAGTCTTTGGTGAGTCAAGCAAAGTTATTCACTGGGCGTAGAGAGATTGCTCATAGTCAAGGGGAGATAGTTAAAAGAAAGGAGGTTGGGGAAGTTTTTTGGGGGGTGAGGGGTGGGGAAGGGGGGGAAAATAGAATTAAAAATAACAGGTGGCAGTGGCAGATACTGTCTTCTCATCTCTCTCTCACCAATAACAACACATTTTGTTTGTACATAGTGCGTTTCATGTTAGGGGGGAAAAATAATTTGGTCACTCAATCCATGGCTGTTTGTGGGGATGTCTCTGTGCGTAATTGGCTGCTGCGTTTCGCCCACAAACGACACAGTCAATCCAATTTGCAGTATATCCTGCAAAGCGCTTTGAGATGTCTCAACGACGTGATAAGGCACTGTATCAAATGCAAGGATTGTTATTATTATTATTATTATTAAGACGCCCTAAGACGTTGGACAGTTAGGGATGTTTTTTACCTGAGCTGGAGGTTGGGATCAGGAGAGCAGGGAGAGTGGGGGTAGGAGGGTGAGCAAAGGCGCAGTCGAAGAGGAGGGTCTTGAAGGAGGCAAGCGGGGAGTGGGGCAAAGGGGCTGAGGGATGGAGGTTGGGGGGCAGAGAGGCTGAAGGTCCAGCTGCCCCAGGTTTGCTGGACATTTGACACTCAAGGGTAAGGATTAACATAAAGCCGCCTCAGACAATGGGGACTTTATGCCTTTCTTCAAACATCTTTAATTGTCCCCGAAGGGCTCATCTGTTTGAGCCGTCAGTGTTTCGAAATCGTGGCTCCAAGTCACGGACCCGCTCAGCTATTCAGCTATTTCATGCGCTCGCGCTCTCTCTCTCTCTCTCTCTCTCTCCCTCGCTCTCTCTCTGTCATGTTCCCTCGGCTTATTTAATGAGCATCATAGCCCAAATGATCTTGTGAGGTGTTAAACCAAGGTCCCCGTCAAAGGCGTCCAAATGAAGACCGAAATGAAGAGTATTCCACCATTCTGCGTTGTCTCGGGGTTGAGGTACAGATCAGCCATCGTCTAATAGAGTGACAGAATAGGCTTGAGGGGCTAAATGGCTTACTCCTGTTCCTATGTTCCGATTTCTTAAATTCAGAGGCACAATGGTTTGGTGGGCTGAGACAAGGCGGAATTTCAAGGCTCCTGAGCAGGAGCCCTGTCTGATTCTGTTCCCCCCCCCCCCCCAACTCCCCCCACCACCATTTGCAATTCAAGGGCAATTGAATTGAGCATTGAAATAAGCAAAGCCACAGCACAGCCCAGCCTGGCTCATCGACAGGTCCTTGAAGGGCAGACCAGTCACTTGGGGCGGGGAGTCATCCCACTCAGCTCCTGTTAACCTGCAACCAAAGCCCTAACGGGTCGGTTGGTCCTGGCTGGATAAGCAACGGGAAAGCTTAGCCAGACAGCGCTCCCAATGGCAAGCTATGCGATTTTAGCTGGTTAGACTCCAGCAGTTACTCCCAATGGACACTCTGGGCTCCCCAAGTCTTGGCTCTTGCCAACCTGCACCTAATGCTTTCCAGAATTAGGTAAGCAGGATGGGTCTAGAGAGAGAGAGAGAGAGAGCATTATCTATCTATCTATCTATCTATCTATCTATCTATCTATCTATCTATCTATCTATCTATCTATCTATCTATCTATCTATCTATCTATCTATCTATCTATCTATCTATCTATCTATCTATCTATCTATCTATCTATCTATCTATCTATCTATCTATCTATCTATCTATCTATCTATCTATCTATCTATCTATCTATCTATCTATCTATCTATCTATCTATCTATCTATCTATCTATCTATCTATCTATCTATCTATCTATCTATCTATCTATCTATCTATCTATCTATCTATCTATCTATCTATCTATCTATCTATCTATCTATCTATCTATCTATCTATCTATCTATCTATCTATCTATCTATCTATCTATCTATCTATCTATCTATCTATCTATCTATCTATCTCTGGGATTCCCATGTGTAGGTGGGATGTATGGAATTCTCAGTTGGGCTGGGATATGCTTAAACAACAGCGATGGGTTTCCGCGTGTGTTAGACGCCCGGCCGGGCAAAGACTAAAAGGCCAATTGTAACTCTGGCTGTTGCCGTTCAGTTGGGAGGATTGTTGGCCAGGACACCAGGGGGCTCAGAGGCCTGGTTTGACCGAGTTACTCACCTGACTTCGAAATGTAACGTGTGTCCGAGTTCGGTGAGCAGAGCGTTCAGTCCGTCCGACTGCGATGGGGTCGCTTCCGAATACACTCCGCCCGCTTCCTCATCTTCCTGCGGGGAAAAGGCAAGGAGGGAGAGGGAGAGTTCAGAACCATTCGGAATCATCTGCACAAAAGGAGTGAGGAGCCTGATGCACAGGACAGTGAGACGTGTTAATATTATCAAGAGTTTGTTCCAACATATTCCTGGTAGGATTGCACTTTGGGGGTCAGTGGAATGAAACAATTGGACAAGACAAAGAGAGGTAGGGGGTTAGGAATAATGTTACTGCAGGAGTTTTTTTGTAAAAAGCTCTCGCCATTAAACAGAGCACACATACAGACATATACACGCGCACACACAATTTTTAAGAGAGAAGTAGATAATTATTTGGGGAGGACAAGATTGCAGGGCTATGAGGAGAGAGCGGGGGAGTGGGGTTGATTTGGATAGCTCTTTGAAAAGGTCCGGCACAGACACGATGGGCCGAATGGCCTCCTTCTGTTCTGCCTAATTTTAAGAACCTGTAAGCATCCACGTAGAGACATATACGCACACACGCGGACACACTCAGACACAGACATACATAAAACACAAGCACACCCACAGACATACACAGACACACAGGCACACACACAGTACATATAAAACACAAGCACACACATTGACATATATACACACACACACACATACAGAAATAAAACACAAGCACAGACACACACAGACGCTCATATAAAACACAAACACACACGTAGAGACATATACACACACACACACACATATAAAGCACACATGCTGCTGTTTTTCCCAAGCAGGCGGCTGATTTATGTGTGACGTGGCAGAACTGGCTTGTTTTATAGGTGTCGTTAGTATGTAGAGCACGAGCAGGCAATGTATCTTTGTTTTAATCTGTGTGATGGGCTGCGGGCGGGTTAATGGAGTGCACAGAGCTGGAGCCGGGCGCTGGCGGACTACAGGACCAGCGCCTCACACAACGCAGACCTGTTTCCCATCATTATCTGGGGCCACGCGACCATTTTTAACCCCTGCATCACCAGCACGGAACCATAGCAGAGTCTCCAGCCCGGCCCACGGCTCACCCTTTCCCTCCTTCCCCAAATTCCTGTTCTTTTGTTCGTAAATTAAAGCATATTTTTTGCAAATGGCAATACCCCACTCCTCCCCCCACCCCACTCCGGCACTGTGTAACTGTTCCCCTCCCCTCATTAAACAGAGTACAGCTAAAGGCGTTTAACGCATGCTTGTGTTTGCACAATAAAAAGCAGAAACAGAATGACACACACACACACGCACACAAAGGAAGATACACATACAGACACATGGCCACACACAGACACACGGGAACACACAGACCCACGCGAACACACAGACCCACGCAAACACACAGACCCACGCAAACACACACACAGAACCAAACTTATTTCTTATTACTATTAATAGTAATAATAATTCATAGACAAACGTTGCAGCTAATTTGAGCACAGCATGGTACCAACTTAAGTTTCACATTTAAACAAAAAAAAAAATCAATTTTATACAGCATCTCTTTTATATATTAAACCCCAATGTAGAGAAGGAAGGCAACGTGTGGGAGAAGGGGGTGGTGGTGGGGGATATGAAATAAAATAATCCTTGCACTTGATGTAGCACCTTAACATGTCTTCGAGACATCTCAAAGCGCTTCGCAGAATATACATTAGAATACATTAGAATATACAGCACAGAAACAGGCCATTCGGCCCAACTGGTCTATGCCGGTGTTTATCCTTCAAATGAGCCTCCTCCTGCCCTTCCTCAACTAAGCCTTCAAGCATAACCTTCTATTCCATTCTGTCCCATTTATCTATTTAGCTTTCCCTCCAATCCCTCCAAATAATAATCCCTCCAAAACCAAACCAATAATAAATTGGTCATTTTCAATCAACGACTGTTTGTGGGACATTGCTGTGCGCAATTGGCTGCCGCGTTCACCCACAAATATACAGTCAATTCACTTTACAGTATATTCTGTGAAGCGCTTTGGGACGTCCTCCCGACGTGAAAAGCGCTATATCAAATGCAAGGATTATTATTATTATTTCCCTTAAATACATCTATGCTATTTGCCAACAACTCCTTGTGGTACCATGTTCCACATTCCCACTACTCTCTGTGTGAAGACACTTTTTCTAACTTCCCTATTTGATCTGTTTGTGACTATTTGATATTGATGGCCCTGGTTTTGGACTCCCCCACAAGTGGAAACATCTTCCCTACGTCGATCCTATCAAAACCTTTCATCATATTGAAGACCTCTATCAGGTCACCTCTTACCTTCCTCTTTTCAAGAGGAAAGAGTCCAAGTATGTTCAGCCTTTCCTGATAGGTATAGCCTCTCAGTCCTTGGGAATCTCCTTTGCGCCCTCTCCAGTGCCTCTACATCCCTTCTATAATGTGGGGACCAGAACTGCACACAGTATTCTAAGTGTAGTCTAACTAACGTTCTATAGCAGTTTACCATAACTTCCCTGCTTTTCATTTCTATCCCTCTAGAAATGAACCCCAATGCCTGGATTGCCTTTTTTATGGCCTTATTAACCTGCGTTGCTACTTTTAGTGAATTGTGGATGTGTACCCCCAGATCCCTTTTGCTCCTCTACTCCATTTAGGTTTTTATTTTCCAGGATGTACGTGACTTCCTTATTCCTTCTACCAAAATGTACCAGCTCACACTTTTCTACATTGAAATGCATTTGCCATTTAAATGCCCACTCAGCAAATTTATTAATGTCTTGCTGTAATGTGTTGCCGTCCTCCTCTGTATTAACTACTCCCCCAAATTGGTGTCGTCCGCAAATTTTGAAATTGTACGGCTGATTCCCGAGTCCAAATCATTAATGTATATTGTGAATAACAGTGGGTACCAATACCGATCCTTGTGGAACATCATTGCCCACCCCCTGCCAGTCTGAGTAGCTGCCCTTTATCCCCACTCGCTGTTTTCTGTTTTGCAGCCAGCTTGCTATCCATTCTGCTGTTATACTGTATACCGTAGAGTGAATTGACTGTATATTTTGTGGGCGAAACACGGCAGCCAACTGCGCACGGAAAAGGGGTGGGGGGGGAAGAAATAAATAAGTGGGGGGCGGGCAATAAGAAGAGGGGAAGAGGGTCCCTTTTTACTCTGCAACAGGCTCAATCTCACAGAGGCAAAGCGCAGCACACAATGAAAACAAGGCACCATATAAAGTGCAGTGAGCATACAGCAGAACAGTGCATGAGAAATGTCCTTGTAGGGCTCCAGTGAGTCACAGCAATTCACGTCCATAATGGGAGTGATTTACTGTCCTCGAGACTGGAGGAGGGACATCCAAGCACATCTGAATGCCGCGCTGTGTGTGTGTGTGTGTGTGTATATGTTTGTGGGGGGGGTGGGGGAGGGAGGCCCGGGAAATGAGACTGATGTCTGGGTTAAAGAGTAAATTAAACTCGCTGGCGTCTGTCCCCTTTCTCCCCGTCTCCGAGCCTCACCCTGACATCTAGCTACTCAGTGATATAAGAGCCTTGCGTGACCCTCTAAATGCCGTTCAACTGCATCTTCGCCTCGTAAACACAGCCACCGTCTCCGCAACGCGGACAGACAGATGTGTTTATGGGGCGTGATGAAGACGTGTCGGACTCGAACCACAAAAAGTGTGATCTGTTGGGATTGTTTTTCGCAGCGGAGAGGGGTGGAAACCCCGTGTTCCCATCCACACTCCCAGGTCAACCACAGCACGGGTTAGAGACACAGTAACATTCCCTCTAAACTGTCCATCCACACTCCCAGATCAGGGTTAGAGACACAATAAAGCTCCCTCCACACTGTGTGTCCACACTCCCCGGTCAGTGATAGCGAGAATTGGAGACAGAGTAAAGCTTCCTCTACTGTAGGGAGAGGAGAGGATGGGGTGGTGAGAGGTACGGTACTCACAGACTCGGAGGAGCTGTCGTGTGGGGCTGGGTTGTGTTGGGGTGAGATGGCCATGGGTTGGCTGATGACCACTTGGCTGTTGAGTTCCTGGGGTGACAGTGGGGGAGTGCTGAAGGTCAGGGAGTCCTGGCTATTGGTGTTGTCACACAGGCTGTAGCTGCTCAGCTTGGGTCGACCTCTCCCCTCGCTTGGGGTGATGGGGGCACATTCCACATCCTCAGCGCCGTCTGCGACTGTGGGGAAAACACAGTGGAGTTAACCCCACAAATGCTGGACCAGCCCAGGACCTTCCCTCTCCTCTCTAAGCAATGACCAGGATAGTGGGTCAAGGCTGAATCTCGGCACAGCAACAGCACATTTACACAGCGTCCTTCACGTCGGGAGGATGTTCCAAGGCGTTGGACAGTCTGGGATATGGACCCGAGCTGGGGTTTAGGATCAGTGAGGGAGGAGGGCAGGAAAGGTAGGAAGATGGGCGAAGGCGCAGTTGAAGAGGAGGATCTTGAGACGGGCCTTGAAGGAGGCGAGGGAGGGGGCAAGGCGAAGGGACACAATTCAAATAAAACACTCAGCCCATTCTAACCCCATTCCCTGCTCTCTCTCTCTCTCTCTCTCTCTCCCTCTCTCTCCCCATCATATCTGTGCTGGTGCTCGCTTCTCCCCTCTGACCCTCGATGCTGTTGGAAACCATACCCTCTGTGATGGCTGAAGCCTCTTTGTAGGTCGTGTCGCTGTCATTGGGGCCTGGGATCTGCTCCAGCCTCGCCTCCAGCACCTTCACATACTCCAGCAACTCCTGCAGAGAATAATACAGGGGCGTCGCACATGGGCAGGTGGAGCAACTCATCCGGGGTTCCATTTCCCCATCCAACTCAGTGATCCCCTCCTCACCCCGGGCAGAAGGCTTGACTGTGAAGCGCTTTGAGGTGTCTCACATGTCATAAGGCGCTATATCAAATGCAAGGATTTACTATAATTGACACAGCTTGTTGACGTCTCAAAGCGCTTCCACAGAATAAATTGGAAAGTGGAGTGACTGTGTATTTTTGTGGGCAAAACGCAGCAGCCTATTGCGCACAGCAGTGTCCCACAAACAGCTGTGGATTGAGTGATCATATTTTTTTGGGGGGGGGGAGGGAATATTTTCCCTGGAAAGCGATCCGCCAATCGACTAACCACTGGGTTCCTCCTTACTGCTGCATAAAGAGGAGCGTGTGTGTGTGTGGATTAAGGAAACGTGCCTAACATTTCGCCCTGACCCACCTGGGAATCGAACCCGGGTCCTCTGGCTTGCGAGGCGAGCGTGTTAACCACTACACTATGGGACTCCACGGGATTCCACGTCATGGGATAATAATTTATTGTTATAATAATTTATTATTATTATCCCATGCCGGGATAAAAAAAGGTATAACCAGATATAACACACACTCAGGGTTATACCTCACTTCCCCGGTGTTTGCTGATCTCCCTCCTCCCTCCCCCTCCCTCCCCTCCCCCAAAAGAAAATTCCGACTTTACCTGTTTCTCCTCCTGCAGTTTTTCCTTCTCTTTCTCCACAACCCGGAATCCCGACTTCATCTCCTTCCGTTCCCGCAGCAGCTCCGACAGCTGGACCTGGGATTGGGGAAAGGAGGGGGCGGCGGAGGGGGGAAAGGGGGGAAGGGGGAAAGAGGGCGAAAGGATTTCATTCACTGCCCGAGAGGTATTGATATTTTTCTTTAGGTATCAGCCGCCTGCTTCAGTTCTTTGCGCTCTGGCTTCTGGGTCAGAAGGTTAATAAGAATAATCCTTGCATTTGATATAGTGTCTTATCACTTCGTTGAGACGTCTCAAAGCGCTTCACAGGATATATTGTGAATTGACTGTATTTTGTTGGCAGACAATTGCGCACAGCAGTGTCTCACAAACTGTCGTGGATTGAGTGACCAAATTGGTATTATTCCCCTTATTGCTGTTAGGTGACCAAGTTATTATCATTCAACCTTATTAATACGCTTGTGGGTTCAAGCCTTATATTGGGGGACTTTGAGCTCGCATAATAATAATTTTGCATTTGGCATAGCGCCTGGTCAAGTCTTCGAGATGTCTCAAAGCGCTTCGCATGATGTACTGTAAATTGGATTGACTTTATTTTTGTGGGTGAAACGCGGCAGCCAATACTGTCGACCTTTTGTATAAGATATTAAACCCAGGCCCAGTTTCAGGGAGTTCTTTAAGGTCCCGCAATGCTTTTCGAGATGAGAGTTTCTCCCAGTCCCCGGCCAACAGTCCTTCAGATGATTATTCACTTCGTAGCGGTTTGAGGGACTCTGCTGTGTGAAAATCTTTGCCTACCAATCCACAGTCAATCTGTGTGGCGCTTTGATATTGTAGGCGCTGTGTCAACTGCAAGGATTGTTATTGCAATTAATGTATTGGTAAATACAGGGCAGTGGCGCCCCCTGGTGGTGCAGACTTACATAGCTTGGCCACCAAGGGGTAATAATAATAATAATCCTTGCATTTGGTATAGCGCCTTATCATGTCTTCGAGACGTCTCAAAGTGCTTCACCGAAGAGAATGTATTTGATTGAGGTGGTGCCAAGTGACAGAGTAGGAAGGTCCCAGATTACAATCCAGGTCTGCGATTGCAGTTGTGGTACATTCGTCTCAACCATGTGATAAGGCGCTATATGAAATGCAAGGATTATTATTATTATTATTATTATTATTAAGTGAGAGAACAAATACGGGGTGAGATTGAAGGAGGGTGGGGGAGCATTTGGCGAAGATGATAAATAATAACAATAAATAATCCTTGATTTTGATATCACGTCATAGAGATATCTCAATGCGCTTCACAGGACATACTGTAAAGTGGAGTGACTGTATTTTGTGGGTGAAATTTGGCACCACAGCAGGGTCCCACAAAACGTCGTGGAGTGAGTGACCAATTTTATTTGGGGGATAGTTGGCCAGGATACCGGGAGAGAGAGCGAAGCTCCCTTCTCTTTTTGAATAGCGCCTCGGGAGATCTCCGTCGTTGACCTGAACAGGCAGACGGGGAAGCTCGGTTTAACCTCTACAGCCGAAGGACAGTGCCTCCAACACAGCCCCAGCACTGCAATGGAGCGTCAGCTTAGACCGTGTGATTCCAAGTCTCGACATGGGGTTTGAACCCACAACCTTCTGACTCGGGAGGTGAGAGAGCGCGCCAGGCTGACACACGAGATGGAAATGATTCCTCACCCTGCTGCAGTCTCTCTCTCTGATCAGCTCCAGACGCAGATTCTCAGCCTCAGACTCCTGCTCTTGGAGGCTGCTCTTCACCTTGACCAGCTCCACGCTCAGCTTCAGCACCCGCTCCTTCTCAGCCTGACAGGGCACAGGTCACACACACCTCAGCCCACACTCTCCCACACGCTCAGCTGCCTGCCCTTGCCCTCACCTCCCCTCCTCTCTGCAAGCAATAATCCTTGCATTTGATACAGCGCCTTGCCTCGTCGTTGACACTGCACTCCGGTAAAGAGAGTAAAGCATTCGACCGGGCCTTTGGTCACCCTCCTAAACCCCACCTCTACCCTCCCTCCCTGCCCTCCACCCCTCCTGATCCCATACCCCACCAGCCCCCAGCCCAGGTCCAAATCCCTGACTGCCTGTCAAGTGTCTTAGGACGTCTTCTCGACGTGAAAGAATCATACAGCGCAGGAGGAGGCCATTCAGCTCAATGTGCCTGTGCCGGCTGTTTGAAGGAGCTGTGCAAATTAATCCCACTGCCCCGCGTTCTCCCCACAGCCACGCAAATTTGTCGTCCCCAAATATCTTTCCACTTCTCTCTTGAAAGTTGTTATCGAATCTGCTTCCACCATCCGAAGCAATGGCCATTGTTGTTGTCATCCTTTTGGATGAGACTCGCTTTCCCGCCTGACCGTACCTCGGAACTCTGCAGGAAGATGGCTTTCTCCTTCAGCCACTGGCCCTTCGATTCCTTCCACTTGACGGTCACCTCGGCCAGACGGATGTTGAGGTCGGCCACATCTAGCCGGCTGCGGTGGAGCTCGGACATGGTCCTGTCCCGGGTGGAGGAGGCGCTGCCCATCTCCTCGCCCATCAGCACCACCTTCTGCTGACTGGCCGCCAGCTGGTCATGGGTACATCGCAGCTGCTCACGGAGAATATCCACCTGACCCTGCCGGAGAGGCACAGGACAAATCAGAACAAATCTGCGGAGACACTGAAATACAAACAGGAGTCGCTGGGAACACGCAGCAGGTCAGGCAGCATCTACGGAGAGAGGAAAGCGAGTTAACGTTTGAGGTCGATGAACTTTTCTAATTCAGATTGCCAGCATCTGTAGTATTTTGCCCTCTACTTCAGCGAGCGAGCAATAAAGTTATGGAACAGATTCCCTTGGGAGACAGACGGTGGAAGCAGAAAATGTTGTTTGTTTCAAGAATAAATTAGACAGATTTCTGCTTGAAAATAATATCTGGGGGGGATACAGTGTATAGTTTGGGACATGACATGTCAAGCGACTGCCAGGATGGTGGAAGGCGAACTAGATGGACCTCGGTCTTCTTTCGGCCAGCGAATTATTATGTTCTTATGACACGGGGAATGGGAGTGGGGGGGGGACTACAAGGACACGAAGCCACAACAAGATAATAATAACAATAATAATCCTTGCATATGATCCTTGTACCCAGCAGGGATTATTACCCCCGGAAAGCGATCCGTCAATCGACTAACAACCGGGTTCCTACTTACTGCTCGGTAAACAGAGGCGTGTGGAGTAGGAAAACTTGCCTCAGGTTTTGCCCCGCCCGGGAATCGAACCAAGGTCCTCTCGCCTGTGAGGCGAGTGCTCTAACCACTACACTACAGGACTCCACAGCCTTGTGGAGTTTGCTGCACATTGGTGGCTGAGATTTCATTCCTTGCTCCTAACCACCAGAACTCCCTCCCTCTCCCTCTCCCTCTCCCATCCCTCCCTCCCTCTCTCTCCCTCTCCCCTCCCTCCCTCTCCCTTTCCCCTCCCCCCTCTCTCCTCGACCAGCCACGTGATCATTGGCTCCCAAGTGTGATGGTGAACCTCTGCTCTAACCTTCAGCTCGTGAGCTGCGGAGGCTTTCTGCTGCAAATCCTCAACCTCGTCTCTCAGCTCTGTCACCAGCGAGTCTGTGTCCGCCAACGCATTCCTCAACACCTGCTGCTCCCCCTGTAACCGCTGGACCTCCAACTGAGAGGCCTCCGAGTGACTCTGCCGAGAGAGAGAGAGAGAGAGAGAGTGTGAGACACACAGGGAGAGAGAGAGGCAGAGAGAGTGAGAGACAGAGAGAGGATGTCAGAGGAAGAGAGAGAGTGTCAGAGAAAGAGGGACAGAGAGTAAGAGACAGAGAGAGAGAGAGAGAGAGAGAGAGGGGGGGTGGGGAATTGGCACGGGTGTGAAACAATAATAATAATCCTTGCTTTTTGATATAGCGCCTTATCACATCGTTGAGACGTCTCGAAGTGCTTCACAGGGTTCACAATAAAGGGAGGTTGACTGTGTATTTTGTGGATGAAACGCAGCAGACAGTTTGCGCACAGCAGTGTCCCACAAACAGCCATCGAGTGAGTGAACAATTTTTTTAAATTTGGGACTGGATTGTTTGCTCGGACACCGGGTGAGAGAGAGAGAGAGAGAGAGAAACTCCCTTCTCTTTTTGAATAGCGTCACAGGAGATCTTTAACGTCCACCTGAACTGGACACAGACGGGGAGTGAGGTTTAACATCTCATCTGAAAGACATTACCTGATAGAATCCTTTCTCCTCTGCCTCTTCCTCTAACCGTGTGCTCTGTTGCTCCCTCTGTAACAGCAGCTTTTTAATCCGTTCCTTCATCCTAGGAGAAACACAGGGAACCCATTTTTAAATTTTTTTGGGGGTCAGCCAGTGTCTGACATATAGAATCATAGAATTATACAGCACAGAACAAGGCCATTCGGCCCATCATGTCTGTGCCGGCTCTTTGAAAAGTGCTTCCAAATCAATCCCACTCCTCCTGCTCTCTCAACCCCAAAACCCTGCAAACTTGCCCTCTGCAAATAATGATCCACTTCTCTCTTAAAAGTTGCTATCAAATCGGCTTCCACCCCCCTTTCAGGTAACTCATTCCAGATCCGAACAATTCGGATCCAAACAACTCATGTGGAAACCCATCACCGAATCCGAACCAAACTGAGAATTCCATGCGTCCCACTTACACGTGGAGAGATTATTGGAATGGAATGCGTACTCTCTCCCTGAAGGGACGTATCCTGCTTACCTAATTCTGGAAAGTATTAGGCGCAGGTTGGCAAGAGCCAAGGCTTGGGGACCCCAGAGTGTGTGTTGGGGTAACTGCTGGAGTCTAACCAGCTAAAACTGCGTAGCTGGCCATTGATTTCGCTGTCTGGCCAGCTTTCTTGCTGCTTGTCCAGCTCAGACCCCGTACCCATTAATGCTTTGGCTTGCAGGGTTAACAGGAGCTGAGCGGGTGATTCCCTGCCCCCAGTGACTGGTCTGCCCTTCCTAGTCCTGCCGATGAGCCAGGCTGGGCCTCAGTACTCCAGGGCACTGCTGGTGAGAGCACAGCCCAGCTCATCTATGGTCTCCAGCTTTGCCAACAACCCTCTTAGCCAGTGCGTAACTGCTCAACCTAAGTTAAATTCACCTTGGGGACAGGCTGCCCCTTCTCCTCGCCTCCTGTCAGTCACCAAAATAATACCCAGGACTTAAAAGAGTTAAATTATGAAGACCAGTTGCATAAACTTGGCCTCTATTCCCTTGAGTTTAGAAGTTTGATTGATTGGTGATCTGATTGGGGTGTTTAAAATGATAAATGGATTCGATAGGGTAGCTATAGAAAGATTAGCTTCACTGGTGGGTGGTGGGGTGGGGGAATCCAGAACAAGGGGGGCATCATCTTAAAATTAGAGCCAGGCCATTTAGGAGCGAAATCAAGAGGGCAGTTTTTCAAAGGGGAGTGGGAATCTGGAACCCTCTCTCTCCAAAAGGCTGTGGATTACGGCTGGATCCAGTCACATTTTCCAAGACTAAAGTGGATAGATATTTGTTAGATCAGGGGATCAAGGGTTATGGGGCAAAGGCGTTGAGGTACAGATCGGGCATGATCTAATAGAATGGCAGAACAGGCTCGAAGGGGCCAAATGGCCTCCTCCTGTTCCTATGTTCCTCGGCCCACCCCAGTAGTGGCCTTGCCACCCGCAGTTCGCAACGATACCTCTCCAGTTCACTTTCTTTCTCCAACACGGTGCCACTGAGTGCCTGGATGTCCTCCTCTAGTTCCTGAATCCTGTCGATGGCCTGTGCGTGCTCCTGCTCCAGGGAGATGTGTTGTGTGGTCACTCTCTGCTTTTCCTCCTCCAGGCTCTGAAACAAAACCAGCCTCATCACCCGCCAAGGTGTTCCTCTGCTCAGCGACTCGCTCCCTCATGCTCTCTCGCCTCTGGGTCAGGAGGTTGTGGGTTCAAGCCCCCACATGGTGACTTTGAGCTCACAATAATAATTAATAATAAGAGTCCTTACATTTGATACAGCGTCTTATCACGTCATTGAGACATCTCAAAATGCTTCATAGGATACCCTGAGTATTTTGTGGATGAAACGTGATAGGCAATTGCACACAGCAGTGGATTTGGTCTCTAAATTATTATTTTAATTATTATTAGAATTTTTTTGAGAGTTAATTACCCCCGGAAAGCGATCCGCCACTCGACTAACAACCGGGTTCCTATTTACTGCGAGATAAACAGAGTTGTGTGGAGTAAGGAAACTTGCCTAAGGTTTCTGCCCATCGTGGATTGAGTGATCAAATTATTATTATTTTATCCAGGCTGAGAGTGCAGTGCTAGGGTGTGTGGAGTTGGGGTTGGGTGGGGGAGGGGGGGAGAGAACGTCCTTTAATTGAGACAACCAATGCCTCATTAAAGACCCCGCAAATCTATTGGAACGGAGAAGGGAGTGTCTCTCGGTGTCCCGGCCAACAATCCCGCAGATTAAATTGGTTGTTGAATCCTGATTTGTCAGTGGGTGTGAAGAATAATTTGTGTGTGTGTGTGTGGGCGGGGTGGCGGTTTGGGGGGGGCTGGAAACTTGCGCATAATCATTACAATTCCCCCTACAACCACCACTAACAAAAAGTCCACTGCCCCGGATTGGTTGAAAGACACTCACGTGGGTTTCCTGGTTGAGACGGGTCTGTTCTGCGATGGCGATCTCAAGGGCTTGTTCGAGCTCCTCAATCTTCCCCTGGAGTTGCTGCATCTCACCCTCCAGGTGCCTCTGTCTGGCCACCAAACTCTCCTTCGTCCTGTCCGACTCCTCCAGCTGCCTCTGTCAATTCCACGCAAATGTTTACAATAATAATATTAGAAATAATAATTCTCGCATTTGATACAGCGCATTATCACATCTTTGAGACGTCTCAAAACGCTTCACAGGATATACTGTAAAGTGGATTGACTGAGTATTTTGTGTGTCCCACAAACAGTCGCGGATTGAGTGACCAAACTATTTTTTTTGCAATCATGTAGTCCCTCATCATAAGCAGGTACAAGGGACTATCTCTGCTCAGCGGGCTCCGGCCTGCTTCACGTCCCCCGCCTTGCTCGCCTCACCATCGGCGGTCGGGCCTTCAGCCTCTCTGCCCTCCCAGCCTCTGAAACTCCAAACCGCAATCCCTCCGCCTCGCCCCCTCCCTTGCCTCCTTCAAGGGCCATCTCAAGACCCTCCTCTTCAACTGTGCCTTTGGTCACCCTCATACCCCAACTCTTCCCACTCACCCCCACCTCCTGATCCCAACCACCAGCTCGGGTGTGGATCCCTGACTGTCCAGCGCCTTGGAACGTCCTCCTGACTTGAAAGGCGCCATGTAAATGTAGTTTGTTATTGTTGTTGTTACCTCGAGTAGAGAGGTCTTGGTCATCACCACCAGCATGTCTGAGTTGTTCTCAAAGTCCTCGAGGGTGATGAAGTCCTCCTCAGGTTTGGGGTCGCTGAAGGTGAAGGGTGTGCTCACACCGGCCACTTCTCCTTTAAACTCCACGTAACAGAACTGGTAAAGGGTGGGCCCGCTGCGGGGCAGGTAGGAGGCTGAGAGGTGAGACAGGGGACACGAGTCGGGTGCCAGCGATTAACTCCCCAATCCTCAGCGGGCAGGCAGGCTTTGCCAGCCGTGCAAGTGGGCACCTACTAGGCGTGCATACGTAAAACGTAGAAACAGGAGGAGGCCATTCAGCCCTCAAGCCTTTTCCGCCATTTTTTGGGTGGGGGCGGTCAGTCGGGTGTCTGACCCATGCGGAACCCATGAATAGAGTCCTGGGGGATAACCCCATAGTGTGTACTGCAGGAGTTTAACCCAGCTGAACCTTTGCACACGCAGAAACCCATCACCGATGCTTAAGAGTCTCCAAACCAAGCTGAGATCTCCAGGCATCCCACCTACACCTGGAAATCCCTGAGACAGATTGTTGAAATGGAATGCGCTCTCTCTTTCTCTCCCTCTCCCTCCCCCTGGAGGGACGCATCCTGCTTAGCTAATTCTGGAAAGTATTATTTAAAGCGCAGATTAGCAAGAGGCAAGGCTTGGGGGAGAGGCCCAGAGTGGGCGATGGGGTAACTGCTGGAGTCTAACCAGCTAAAACCGTGTGATTAAATCTCAGCCCCACAGCTTACACCCCCTGAAACAGGCCCTGTTCCTATGTTGTGAACTGACCTTGGAAGCGGACGGAGCAGTTAGTGGGTGAACCCTCTGCGTAGCCATCGGGCGAAGGTGACCACAGGAAGGTGTGATAATCACGGACGGATGACCAGCGTACCTGAAAGCCAACAGAATCCGAGTCACTGAATAATGTATATTTTCTAGGCAAAACGTGGTGGCCAATTTGCGCACAGCAGTGACCCACAAACAGTCATGAATTGAGCGATCAAATTTTTTTTTAAGGGATTATTACCCCCAGAAAAAAGTCTGTCCATGAGCTGGGGAAACCCACGATGGCAACAAGGCTGGAACCCATTTTTTTTTGGGTCAACCGGGTGTCTGACACGTGCGGAAACCATCACCGTTGCTTAAGAGTCTCCAAACCCAACTGAGAATTCCCTGCCTTCCACCTACACATGGAAACCCCAGAGAGAGATTGTTGGAATGGAAAGGATTATAGGATTATTATAATTATTGAGATAATGAAATCAGTCATGAATTGCTGTGCTGGGACAAACGCTCTATGTGTGTGTGTGTGGGGGGGGGGGGTGGGGGGGGGGAGAGAACGGGGGGTGGAGGAAGCGAGGATAAAGAGTGGAACAGAGCCAGCAGCAGGTGTCATCTTAAACAAGAGAACATCAGTGAGGCTCGGGCACAGATGGCGGTGGGCAGTGCTATAATTTCAGGCTTAAGTGCTTGATGGCACAGGGATATTCTCTGTGAAGTACAAACTATTAAGAGACTTGGTCATAATAAGCCAGGCTCTGGCAATCGCAATGATCGCTCTAAACCTGCTGCCCTTTCGGGGCTGTAAAAGTTTCCTTCGTAATCGTAACCCAGCTGGAAGGGCACGTATGCCCTGGTTTCTGTGTCTCTTCTGCACACGGAGTATTATTAATAATAATCTTCACATTCGATACAGCACCTTATCACGTCGTTGAGACATCTCAAAGTGCTTCACAGGATATACTGTAAAGTGGATTGACTGCTGTGTATTTTGTGGGCGAAAAGCGGCAGCTAGTTACACCCAGCAATGTCCCACAAACAGTCGTAGGTTGAGCGAACAAATTATTCTTATTTTTTTGGAGAGGGATTAGTTCCCCCGGAAAGGCAACCTACCAATCGAATAATAAGCAGATTCCTGCTAGGTAAACAGAGGGTTGTGGAGTAAGGAAACTTGCCTAGGGTTTCACCTCACCGGTAATTCGAACCGAGTCCTCTCGCTTGAAAGGCAAACATGCTAACCGCCACGCTTTGGGACTCCAAGCAAGAAAACTCCACATAGTGAAACACGTCAAATTTCACTCATGTCCAAAGAGAACCAAAATCTGCAAAAAGTCAGGATGGGCAGATTGAGTAACCCAAATTTTTTAAGGGAGAGATAATTACCCCCAGAAAGCAATCAGCCAATGACTAGCCACCAGGTTCTTACTTACAGCTTAGTAAACAGAGACGTGTGTGTGTAGTAAGGAAACTTGCCTAAAGTTTCACCCTGACCCGCCCGGGAATCGAACCCGGATCCTCTCGCTTACAACTCAGCCGTACCTTGAAAATCCCGATCCAGTCTTTCGATGTCCACCTGGCGTGGGGAGCCAGGGAATAGTGACACTCCACGCTGGTTCCGGGGATATACAAGGACGCCACATTGTGGAACGTGACTTTCGGCTGGGATTGACTTTTCGGAAGAGCTTCCATCTTCCTCACCCTCAGCGGTCACTGCAAGAGAAGAGAGTAGGGGGGAGAGGGGGTCAGATTATGATACAGATAATGCAGTTAATTTAAAATGCAGTTAATTCACTTTACAATATATTCTGTAAAGCGCTTTGAGGCTTGTCATTGACACGATAGGGCACTATATCAAATGCAAGGATTATTATTATTATTATCCTCCCTTTACCAGATGACTTCATTTACCCTGTAAAGTCATAAGGTTCGGACATGCAGCCAGGACGAGGCCTGCTGTGCTCAGAGTGACTCTGTCTCCTGGCTGACCTACAGCCTACTTAACAGAAACATACACTCACACGGATCATGTTTCAAACAAATCCCGTGACCTTGTGTACAGCACGCGATCAGCGCTGTTAATAAATAAGGATGCAGAGGCAGATAGATGGAAGAATGTCACAGGCACTGCACAGTCAGGTGTGGGCACGTCAATTGGGGTCTCCCTGGGATTTAACTTGGTGCCAAGGAGATGTATGTGGTGGAGAAGCCCAGTAACCCTGTGGTTGAAGCCACTTTGTGGAGTCCCATAGCGTAGTGGTTAGCTTGTTCACCTCGCAAACGAGAGGACCTAGGTTCGATGCCCGGGCAGGGCGAAACCATAGACAACTTTCCCGTAGGAACCGTTTGTTAAGTCGATTGGTGGATTTTTTCCTGCCGGCTAATAATCCCCTCAAAAAATAATTTCATAATTGAAATTAAAAAAATCTACTCTATCAAAACCTCTCATAATTTTGAACAACTTTACTATTAAATCTCCCCTTAACCTTCTCTGCTCGAAGGAGAACAATTCCAGCTTTGAGACGTCTCAACGACATGATAAGGTGCTATATCAAAAGCAAGGATTATTATAATTATTGTTATTTTACCAAGAGGAAAAACTTTTAGCTCACAGTCTAATTCAGACCCCAGAGCCACATGTCGGATAAGGCACTAAAACGGTACTCCATCTACCTCTCCTCATGTCTCCAACACACGTTAACCATCCGGCCTTACTCAACTCTGCGCTATGTCACTGACACAGATTTGCTGGCATGTTCGCCCACATATCAACAGTCACTACACTTGAAGTAACTCATTTATGGGTGAAGCGCTTTGGGGGTGGGGGGCCATGGGGTGGAGTTTGGCTCCCCTCGATATACAGGTTACTGTTAACAGAACAGGTTAGACCAGGGCTGTGTTATGATGTGTCTGCTTATTGCAGAACTGGCCAAAACTTACAAGAAAGGCCACGGGGGAGCGGAGGAGAGGTTGGGATGTGAGTGGATGTCTTGCACAACCAATCCCTTTGGGAAGGGGGGGGGTGGGAATTGGAAATATTTAAAATAAATTCAAAAAGCAATTTATTCCAACATTTTAGGTTCTGTCAAATTACAACTTTTTTTCACGTCTCTGTTAAGAAGTTCATACCTTCTGCGCCCTTCACCCGACCCCCCCACCCACCCCAAACCAATCGAATTATGCTTTACACAGAAGCCAACAGTCCTCCATCATTGAAAAATTAACTGGTATAATGCCAACACCCCCGCCACCCCCCCCCCCATTAGTCATCTGACATGACTGCTTTGATGCCTGTTTATGTCACAATGTTTGTAACATACACTCATCAACATCACCCCAGTGACAGCTGTGATAGAATTATTTCCCAGCTCTGGGGGGGGGGGTGGTGGGGGGTGGGGGTGAAAGGAACTGGGAAAATTCAGAGGAAGCTTTTCAGTGACAGCCGCAAACGATGGAAGAAAAATAAAATGATTAGGAGACGGAAGGGCAGGCGCAAATACTTGCGAGACTCGCCGTTTCGCGTTTAAATAGCTGGAATTTTTTCTTTTTCTTTTAAAAATGGGGGCAACAAGTACAATCCGTTTTATGTTTTCTAAAAAAAAAAGCAAACTTGTTCGCACAGGCCCGTTGTTGCTCTCTTTTTGCCTGCGAGCAACGATGAGACCGAGCGGGTCCGTCAAGCAAATGGCGTTGAGCTGACTGACCCTCCCCCCCACCTCCGGGTTGGCATTTTGATGTTTCTTGGCCCAATCCCAGACCAGAGGCTCGGGGACGTCTCGCTACAGCACTCTGTCACGAGTAGCGCAGTGTCAATCACCAGAGTAACACTGTATACATATATATCTCACAAGAGTAACTGTATAGATACGACAAGAATAACATTGTATATATATATATATAATCACACGAGTAACATTGTGTATATATATATATATATATATATAATCACAAGAGTAACATTGTGTATATATATATAATCACAAGAGTAACATTGTATATATAATCGCAAGAGTAACATTATATATACACAGTATAGCACAAGAGTCACAATGTATCCAAAGAGAGTAACAGCTCCAACTTTGTAACAAATGTTTGACACAATGTATACAGCTGCAACTTGCTCGGCCCTCTCTCTCTCTCTCTCCCTCCCTCCCCCCTCTCTCTCTCTCCCCCCCCCCCCCCCCCCCCCCACTCCCCCCCACCCCCACTGCTCTCTTCAACCCCTCGGTTCGCCATCAGACGTTCAATGCGGAAAAAAAAAAGAAATCCCCAAATGCCGATGGAGAGGGTTTCGAAGCCGCGGAGGTCAGTCGTTTGCAGACGGTTCCCAACGTCGAGAAAATAAAAGCCACAGAGACAGGACGCGGGGGTTCCTGATCCCCCCCTCTCTCTCTCTCTCTCTCTCTCGCCTCTAAAGATCTGGGATTATTCGATGCATTCATCATCATCATCATCATTATTATTATTATTATTTCCCCCCCCACCAAAAAAAAATATAGCAAAGAAAGTTACAAAGCAAAGGGTCGAGGTCCCGAGGCTCTGACCCTTCACGTCTTACCACAGAGGCAATCAGCTGCTCCGACAATCTCGCACAATAACAAACTGCGGCCCGCGGGCCACGCCGGGACTTGTAGTCTCCTGGGGTTCCCGTTGCATTGCCAGGAGCTTCCACAGAGAGACTACAGATCCCAGAGTGCCCTTCACAGGGGTTGGTGGGGGGGGGGGGATTCTGCCCTTGACCTCCCTTTGATGGGCTCCAAGGTTGCAAGCCCTGACCATGGGGACCACCCCCCCCACTCCCCGCACCACCACACCGGTGGCTCTCGGCTTCCTGGGACCCAGGGTTTGGGGAGCCGGGCTCGGTCGCTTTGGGTTGCATTGTAATCTGTACCCCTCCGGGGGCTCTCTGGGAGGCAATGATCCACGTGGCTTGTTATTTAGCTCTTTTTGTTTGGTTTAAAACCTGATACTAGTAGTCCTTGCATGTGATATAGCGCTGTTCACGTCTTCTCGACGGCTCAAGGCGCTTCACAGGGTAAAGTGACTGTAAAGTAATAATAATAATAATAATACTTGCATTTGATATAGAGCTTTTCACGTCGGGAGGACGTCCCAAAGCGCTTCACAGAACACACTGTAAAGTGAATTGACTGTATATTTGTGGGCGAACGCGGCAGCCAATTGTGCACAGCAATGTCTCACAAACAGCCGTGGATTGAAGTGACCAATTTATTTTTTCTTGAGGGATTATTATCAGGCGTGTGGAGTAAGGAAACTTGCCCAAGGTTTCACTCTGCCGGGAATCAAACCCAGGTCTCTTGCTTGCAAAACGAGTGCTCTAACTACTGAGCTCCCGGACTCCTAAAGGAGGCGCGGAATCCTTCCAGTCAGCTCCATTAACAAGCGCTATGTAAACGCAAGTTGTTGTTAACCCATCAAGCCAAAACCCCTAATGGGTAGGGTGGTCCTAGATGGACAAGCAGCGGGAAAGCTTAGCCAGACAGCGCTATCGATGGCCAAGCTCTGTGTGGGTTTAGCAGGTTAGACCCCAGCAGTTACCCCAACACACACTCTGGGTTCCCCCCAAGCCTTGGCTCTTGCTAACCTGTGCCTAATACTTTCCGGGAATTATGTAAGCAGATGGCGTCCCACTAGGGGGAGAGAGTGTGCATTCCATTCCACCAATCTATCTCTGGGATTTCCATGTACAGGTCGGAGGCCGGGAATTCTCAGTTTGGTTTGGATATTCTTAAACATGGTGATAGGTTTCCACGTGTGTCAGACACCAGGCTGACCAAAATTGGGTTAAATGTTTCCAAAAAACTAAATTGAGGAAAGGTCATTTGAGCCAACATACTTTCTCCCCCCAGACAATGCACAACTCCCTTATCATGGAACCCCTCCTTGTACATGGAGTCCTGTAGCTCAGTGGTTAGAGCACTCGCTTTGCAAGCGAGAGGCCTGAGTTCAATCCCAGGCAGAGGACGAAACCTCGGGCAAGTTTCCTTACTCCACACAGAGCCTAATAATAATCCCTCCAAAACCAAAAACAATAATAAATTGGTCATTTTCAATCTACGCAAATGGCTGCCGCGTTCGCCCACAAATATACAGTCAATTCACTTTACAGTTTGTTCTGTGAAGCGCTTTGGGACGTCCTCCCGACGTGAAAAGCGCTATATCAAATGCAGGGATTATTATTATTATTACCCACAGATCCATTTAATCTCTAACTCTCTGTAGACGGTCTCTCATTTAAACCCTTAAGGGTGTCTACAGACAGCCCATGATCCAGTCATCCTGAATGTTTCAGTCCTGTCTGGCTGTTTCTACTAATGCTCGCAGAACCATCTCCCTCGAGAGGCGTTGCTATCTCGATCCATCAAGAATCTTCCAATTCTCAATCGTTTTGCTCAACAATTACTAATTCATTTTTTTTTAATGAAAAAAAAGTTGACTAAGATCTAATTACTTTCTGGAGAGTGAATTCCACCCGTTCACTGTCTGCGGGGAATGTTTGTTAAACTCCCATCGTGGAGTCCTGTAGCGTAGTGGTTAGCGTGCTCGCCTCATAAGCGAGAGGTCCCGGGTTCGATTCTCGGATTAGACGTAACCTTAGGAAGTTTCCTTACTGCACACACTTTTGTTCACCAAGCAGGAAGCAGGAACCGAGTTGTCAATTAATTGCCAGATTGTTTTCCATGGGTAACAATTCCTTCAAGAAAAAAATATTTGGTCACTCAATCCACAACTGTCTGTGTGCAATTGGCTGCCGCTTTTCACCCACAGAATATATAGTCAATTCACTTTACAGTATTTCCTGTGAAGCGCTTTGAGACGTCTCAACAGTTGATAAGGCCCTGTATCAAATGAAGGATTATTATTAATATTATTATTTTTGGTCTTTTATTCAGCTAGGATTTCCTATGTTCCTATTTCAAAGAGTGACAGGAAAGGAGATTCAATTAGCGTGGAAATGTGAAGTAAAAATGGTAAATACTGGGGCAGGTTTCATATCCCAGACATTAAACCATTTTTCTCTTTAAGCTGATTGACCATCTGTGCAATTTTCAGCATTTTTTGTTAGGCTGCCTGTCCCGTGCTGGTCAGGGCATTTGGGCTAATCTTTAAATAAAATCTATGAGAGTTGTCAGAGGAAACAAAACAGACAGATGCCTGACAAAACTGACCCAGGTGGTCGCTGAGAGAGGAGGATGCGGGCTGTGAATCTGCAAGAAGTGCCAATGGACACCAGCAGTGTTTTCTGGACCCACCATGTGGCTTGCTTTAAAAATGTAACCGGTTTTGATGTACACCACTCATAAAAATGAATGAAAGCTCCTTCGGATTAAATGGGTTTGGAAACTCTAGCTCGGCATGAACACAAATCTCGCCCGGGACATTTTCTCAGTGTTGAGAGCCCTTCTGTTTCCCCTTGGCCTAATCCGTGTGCCAACAAGCCTGGGCAATTGAGCAGGTAATAGTTCTGGGGAGGTCTTGCAGAGCCAAATGCTCGCTCTGTCACGCCTGGCACAGCTAGAGCTGCTAATTCCATCATCAAAGTTCCTGCATTCCTCTATTGTCCCATGGTAAAGAAGTAAACACTCAACAGATATTGACACAGGTTCAGGACTCAGCATTAATTACTTCACAAGGGAACTCGATCCAAACATCTACCATACTGTGGAGAGAAATCGTTCTAACTCTAAGCTTGTGAGTTTCTCTAATGTCCTCCTTATTTTGAATGCCAGAAAAAGGCATTCAGGCCGGACTGAGTCTCATAGCGCTTAAGTTATGGTTCAGTATATAGTATATAGTTCGGGACCACGACATGTTCATGCAACTGCCAGGATGGTGGAAAGCGACCTGGATGGACATTGGTCTTCTTTCGTTCAGCAATTTTTATGTCCTTAAGTCTCCCTTCAGTGTTTCACCGGTGAAAATGAACCCACTTAGTGGATTGTATTTTATGGGTACAGTACTGAGTCTTAGCTCCTGAACCCCTCACGTACACTAGAGACAGAGATAAAAAGGCACCTATGGTCCCTGCTTCTCATCACTGTTGAGTGCACATTTGTGGACTTCAGGCAGGAGACGCAAACTTGACCAGGCTCGCAGGAGAAGAATAACCACCAGAAAAATGTCTGTTCCCACAGCCCAAGTGTTCAGGCATGGGGAGAAAACTGCTTTTATCAGAGGAGATGATATAATATATATTATCAATCTCCATTACACTCCACAAAGACAGAGAGAGAACATCAGTATGAACAAACTGATAGAATCTTACAGCACAGAAGGAGGCCATTCGGCTCATTGCGCCAGCTATCCAATGAGCCCCACTCCCCCTGCTCTTTCTCCACACCCTTGACAATTTTTTCTTTTCAAGTACATATCCAATCCCCATTTGAAAGTCATTATTAAATCTGTACAAAATGTAATTTTGTTGTTGTTGTTGCTTCCACTAACCTTTCAGGCAATGCATTCCAGATCATAATAACTCGCAGAATGGTCAATTTATCTGGGGATTGTTGGCCCCGACCCTGGCAGAAGCCCCCCACACCCCCCCCCTCCCGGAGATGTTTAACATATACAAGGCCTCAACTCAACATCTCATCCAAGTGATGGCACCTCTGGCAATGCAGCGATACCCTAGCATTGTGGTGGAATGTCAGCCTAGAACTAAACAACAAAATCACATTTGTAAAGCGCCTTTCACGTCGGGAGGACGTCCCAAGGTGCTGAAGACCTCAAGCCCTGATCTATGTCTTGAACAACCTTCTGGCCCAGAGGTGAAAGCGCAATCAACAGATACAATCAGATTAGTAGCGATGGATTTTCGAGCCTGATTTCGAGGTAGTGTAAACATCTTCACTTGAAATCCTTCTCCTCTCCATCTGTTCGATATCTTAGATATATCAAAAGCACATCCAAATGGCACTTGAATCACAAAATCAATGCGATGTCCCAGCATAGCTTAAGAATTGATGTTGCCATCTGTCATGTACAACAAAATGCATTTCGGTCCTTCTGTTTGCTTCAAGCTTCTGTCGCTCGGCAACAATGAGCGTACTATTGATGTGCTGTTGGGAGCACGCTCCATCGCACCCCACTATCAAATGGCGGGCGATAAACTAAACTAAATGGTGCTTAAAGCCTCAGTCTCAGCTCCTCAAAGGTTAGTTTGGTTAAGGCCATGCCCCGGGTCTGAACCTGAGCCAAAGAGTTCAGGGAAATCCAACAATAGTTCATGGTTTGTGCTGCTCTAGAGGAGTCGAGGGTGAAGCAATTGGCCTCGGTGTCCTTGGGATGGGAGAGAAAAGCGGAAAATAAAACTCACATTCCTTATTGCTATGCAGTGATCTTTACTTATGGAGTCATGTAGTGTCCTGATCAGAGCGCTCGCCTCGCAACCGAGGACCCGGTGGGGTGAAACCTTATGCAAGTTTCCATACTCCACACACACGCCTCCGTTTACCTAGCAGTAAGTAGTCGATTGGCGGATTACTTTCCAGGGGGTAATAGTCCCTTAAAAAAAATGACAATTTGGTCACTCAATCCGCGACTGTTCACGTGACACTGCTGTACGCAATTGGCTGTCGCGTTTCGCCCAAAAATTCTTATGGTCAATTCACTTTACAGTATAATCTGACGGCTCAACGATGTGATAAGGCGCTACATTAAATGCAAGGATTATTATAAGTTTCCCCACGCAAGCGCACAGCAATCCTCTTAACTGAAGGAGTCCAAGTGGCCACAGGAGGCGCTCTGGAGCGAGCTACATACACAAGGCTGTGAAGAGGCTCTAGGTTACAGCTTTAATAAGGATCCAGTGTGTGAGAGTCCGAGGGGGAGCGCTGCCTTGGAGGACAGGCATTAATAAGCAATCTATCCCTGAAACAGAGCCAACCACCTCAGGGTGGGCTCTCCGGGACGGTGGTCTCTGGGGCTTTTGCATTGACCCCCTCCTGTGATTGTTCGACCCCCTCCTGTGATTGTTCGGCCCCCTCTCCCGCTCCTGTTTTAGCCGTCTTCGGCTGAGGTTCCACCCGTCCGGTTATTCCGTCTTCCCGGACCTCGTCGCTGGGCACTTTGACAGCAGATGTGTTGTCTTTTGGATCTAGCCAAAAAAAAAAGGTTTATTAAGTTAAAAACTCTGCAGCTTTAATGCAGTGACTGACACCCGGCACAGACCCTTGTCATAGCTCCCTCTCATGGCTCGTTTGGTAGGTTCGCTCGCTCGTGTGAAATCGACCCTTACAGTCCTGGGCCTCAAACTTCCACCGAGTCTCGCTTGTTCAAACCATTTTTTTCCCCCTTAAAATTTAAGATTGCACATAATTCAGAAAGAAAAATAAACCCAGCGATTTTTGGCTAGGCATTCCGTGCCGTAATAACCTTCGGTGCAAAAATAACTCTCCTATGTCTGACTGGCTCCGGCCTCCTGCTTGTCTGCTTGTCCTTCGTGCCCTCCGTCCCACCATCGGCAGCCGTGGGTTCAGCCACTTTGCCCGGAAACTCTGGAACGCTCTCTCTCAATCCTTCTACCTTGCCCACTCCTTCCCCACCTTCAGGTCGTGCCTGAACACCTTCCTCTTCGACCGTGCCCATGGTCACCTCCCCCCTCGGCTCGTGCTCCGCCACTGTCAAGCGCTCTGGGGCGCTATCCTGCATGAAGGGGGGGGGCGTTGTGTAAATGTAAGTTGTTGCCATCCTAACCTCTGGCTCTGTTTATCCAGCGCCTTGGGACATCCTCCCAACGCTACGCAAATGTAATTTTGTACTGTATTTGGTGATGATCTTCAATGACTGCCCTCCAGAACAGGCAAAAGGCTGAAACCCAGCACACAGACAGAAAGGATAGAAAACGTGTGATGTACCTGACTGACCAACTATCTCTTGGGGCTTGGCCTCCCGTCGTGGACCCCAGTCCAAAGAATGGGGCGTCTGTCCACTGCCCATCACAGGTTGGCACCCCCGGCAACGAGTCTTCTTGGCAGCGTTCAATACAAAGCAATAGGCACATCTGAACGCTGGGGCAAATCGAAACAAAACACAAACAAAGCTGTTCCTCAGATTGTATGAGAGATGAATACAAAATTAAAATCTTTGGCCGAATTGAGCAAATCAAACCTATGAATTACTGAAGATGATAAATGATTAGCTTTAGATGGGCTGGTGAATGGGGCGCAGGTCATTTAGATATCAGCGAAGCAGCTTACTGTAAGAGGGCATTCATCTTGCTCCTGTATGGTGTGCTCAGCACCTTGGGCAGTCCACCCGTCGCGGAAGGCGCTACACAAATGTAATTTTGTTGTTGTTGTTGATTTATCCGTCAGTGGTTCAGTTAGTGGCACAATTGGCCTTGGGTCAGAAGGACCTTGAGATCAGTCTTAGCTGAGACTCCAGCGCAGTATTGGAGGTTACTGGGAATCCGCGATGCATTCCTTCCAAAAAAATAATAATAATAAATTGGTCACTCAATCCACAGTCGTCTGTGGGACACTGCTGTGCACAATTGGCTGCCACATTTCACCCATAGAATACACAGTCAATTCACTTTACAGTATATTTGTGAAGCGCTTTGAAACATCTTGAAGACGTGATAAGGAGCTACATCGAATGCAAAAAAGATATTATATATTATCCTTTGGGATGAGACTTTAAAACCAAGGTCCTGTTTGCCTGTTCAGGCAGACATTAATGATCTTGTGATACGATTGAAAAAGAAAAGGGAATTTCTACTGATGTCTTGGCTAATAATCTTGGCCATAGCTGATTGTGGCGTGCAAAATGACTGCTGCGTTTGCTTCTACCTCTAGGTTGAGGAACCCTTACCCATGTACTCAAACTCCTCTCTCAGCGCCATCCCGTTGTGGCAGTAACAATGACGGCAGATTAGAGCACTTCTGTGAACAAAGATGTCAGTGTAAGCAGCAAGACTCATCTTCATTGTATCAACCACCAGCTTCTCTCTCACTCACACACCCACACTCTCCCTCCCCTGTGGTCAGCAAGGCCTCCGTCTAACATAATTCCTGCAATTCCTAGAATGTGAAAATGTCTCAAAGCGCTTCACAGGAAAATGGTGCCAAGCATAGTGACTGTAGTTGCAGGTGAAAGGGATAGCCATCTTTGCGCATAAGATTGCACAGGCATGGAGTGAAGATATCAATTTATTTGGAGGATTGTTGGCCAGGACACTGAGTAAAACTCCTCTCTCTTTTCCAACAGAACCACGGCACCATTAACGTGCACACGACGGGGCATGCAGTGAAGAATGCAGTGCATTTTAGACAAAATCCCCGGGCTGTGAAATTGAAAATACGGTACAGGAAATTTAGTTCAGCAAAACAGTTTTGAATTGCATCAATTTTATAAGACAGAGGCATTCAGTTCAGCTTCGTGCATGCTGTCTGAAAGAGCTATTTGTTTAGCTCCCCCTCCTCTGCCCTTTCTTCCTCTCCAGCTCCCCCTCGTACCCTTTTAACTATTTTCTATCCTTAAGTTCCTTTTAAAAGCACAAATGGGTTTCGCTCCAGTCACCGATGTTTGGTTGGTGTTCCATGTCCTAATAACTCACTTTGTGTGCGAACAAAATGCTTCTAATCTCCTCCATTCCTAATACACAGGCAATCCACTTCACATTATATTATAATGATAATAATCCTTACATTTGATATAGTGCATTATCATCTCAAAGCGCTTCACAGAATATACTGTAAAGTGAATTGACTGTATATTTTGTGGGCGAAACGCGGCAGCCAATTGCGCACAGCAATGTCCCACAAACAGTGACCGATTTATTATTTTTTTTGAAGGAATTATTACCCCCGGAAAAGTGATCCGCCAATTGACTAACAACCGGGTTCCTACTTACTGCTGGGTAAACAGGGGCTATGTGGAGTAAGAAAACTTGCCCAACATTTCGCCCTGATGGCTATCGAACCCGGGTCTCTCGCTTGTGAGGCGAGTGCTCTAATCACTGAGCTGCAGGACTCTGAATCCTGTGAAGCGCTTTGAGTCATCTTTGTATTTTGGTGATTGTCTGAAATTTAGGCTTTTTTATAATTTTTGGCAGTTGCGTGCGTTTGTGCTTTTTTGGTGGTGGGGGTGAGAATAAAAAAAAAACAAGGATCCGCAACTAAACTCTTCCCTTCCCCAGGCAACTAAGCGCGTCTCCTTGGCTGTGTGTGGGTCGGGGAGGGGAGGGGAAGAGAAGACAGCGTTCTCAGGAGAGTGGGTGTTGCTGCATTGCATTAGCGCGTGTGTGTGGGAGCTGTAAATTGTATCCAACCTGTGCCATACCTGCCTCGAGAGTGCTTGATGTGACTGGGTGCTTAATGTTCCTTTCCCCAGTAGTGCCATCACTCACTTTGACGAGCACATATATTTCTGATTCACGGAATGCAGAACGCTGTCAATCCAGTGCCCAATTTTGCAGCAGTCTGTGGCACATTTAGCATAATTAACCCTTTTCTAGGCGAGGGAGGGAGGGAGGTTTTTTTTGATACAGCCTGCGGTGCCGTTATTATTCTCTTAACCAGGTTTATGTCTTAAATGGTGCTTTGTAGCATGGGGGGAAACGAGGCGCTGCGGAGAAATCCACTCGCTCTAGGTTTACCTGTTCCGAAAGCCGACACCAATTAAATACTCCAGGATCTTAATGATCCAACCTTGGCCACGAGGGGCAGTGGGTCTGGGACGAGGGGGGCCTGGAGGGTGGAAGTCTGCAATCAAACAGAGCAGGGTTAGCGAAATGCTTTGCAGATGCGGGCAGGAAAGACTCAACTGTGTAGTAAAAATTTATGCCTACCGGGCAGGGGGCTCTCTCACTCTCTCTCCCCCCACCGCTCCCGCCCCCCCCCAACCCCCTCCCCCCACCCACCCCACTCAGACTTAAAACAAAACCTGAATTCTTAAAGATAAAATAACTGAAACCATTCACAATGGGTTCAGTCTTGACTGCGACACGGCCTCGATTTGTGTGGATTATTCCCTTGGTCTCCTTATCTCGCCCGCTACGTGATAATACTACTACTAATAATCCTTGCATTTGACACAGCGCCTTATCACGGCTTCGAGACATCTCAAAGCGCTTCACGGGATATACTGTTGACTGTTTATTTTGTGGGCGAATTGCGGGTGGGTTCAAGCCCCCACAACGAGATTTGGAATCACATTGTCGGAGGTGCGTCCTTTTGGATGAGACATTAAACCGAGGTCCCGTTTCGGTCGAAGTTAATGATCCCACGGCGTTATTCGAAAAGAGAAGAGAGTTTCTCTCTCCCGGTGTCCTGGCTGACAATTGTCGATGAGGGGTGACTTACAAGAAATAATTAACAAAATACTGCAAGTTCTGTTAAGATGATGCAACTTGCAAACTGAAGCCAAGTACTGCGTATGATTGATTCTGGAGTGACTGGCAAGCTCTCAATAATATTTTTATGATCGGAGGCTATCACCTAACTCGGGCAAATTAACACAAGAAAGAGCCTTAATCTGGCTGGTAGAGACTTCGAGCACATGGAAGATTTATGCTGAGGAACAGAAGAGAAAGAGAGAGAGACAGTGCCAGTGACTGCAGATCAAAACCAGGCTGCAAGGCACGTACGTCTCTGCTCTTTCACTTCGGTGGGTTTCGCCCAAAAACTGTACAGTCACTCCGCTTTACAGTATGTTTTGTGAAGTGTTTCGAGACATCTTAACAACGTGATAAGGCGCTACATCAAATGCAAGGATTATTATCAGTAGTAGTATTTAATACAGTTTGCTGGAACAAAATCTACATGGAATCATTATCTGGAAGCATTTTCCTGTTCTGAAATTCCTCCTGAACATAATGTTAAACTAACTCAATAGTGATTAAAAACATAAGAGTTGTTAGATGAAAGAAGCCCAAGTTCTATCCAGTTCGCCTTCCACCATCCTGGTAGTCACATGTACATGTTGGATCCCAAACTATATTCCTTATCCCAAGATATTATTTCGTAAAATAAATCTATCCAATTTGCTTTTGAAAGAATCACCACTTTAACCTGTACATCTTCCAAGGCGAGAACAGATAGATACCATATTTTCCATTTAATTCCAGTTAGTTATTGCTGCCTTCTACGCTGCAATTGTTCTGTGTTCCTAAGCAGTCATTTTATCCAAGGATCAATATCTCCCTGAGAGATGGCCTTTAATCTCACTACTATCTAGGATTCTCTCTCTTTCCCTCCCCTCCTCCCTTCCATCCTGTTTAGTTTGACCGAAAGCAAAGTGAAATAAAGAAAAGAACCACAATAATAAAAGCTTGCACATAGGACAACCATCTCAAAGCGCTGTATAACTATACTTCTTTTAATCTTCTGCATTTGATACAGCACTTTATCACATGGATGAAACCTCTCAAAGCATTTCGCAGGAATCACTGTAAAGTGTAGCGACTGTATTTTTCTCGGCATCCATTTTGCACACACCAAAGCCCCACAAAGTGAGTGACCAATTTTATCTGGGGGATTGTCGGCCAGGACACCCGGAGAGAGAAACTCCCTTCTCTTTTCGAATAGCGCCGCGGGATCTTTAATGTCCATCTGAACGAACGGGCAGACGAACAGAGCTCGGTTTAATGTCTCATCGCAATTGACGGAAAGGAAAAGAAGATTGAAAGACCCAACACAGGGTTGATGGGATGTGGTTTTGAAATGAGGGGAGAGAGAACAAAGTGAAGAAATTTTAGAACCGAGTTGCAGAGGGGTACACCCGGAATGGCTCGACCACTGATAACGGGACAGAAGGAATGAGGAACAAACAAACAATCACAGCATAGAGGGCAAGGGCAGGACAGACAACAGGGCTGGAAGAGATTGCACAGATGGGAGGTGGCAAGAGTGTGAAGGGGCTTGAAGGACAGGGCAAGGATTTTACAATGGATCTGCTGGGATACTGGGAGCTAGTGGAGCCTGGCGAGGACGAGAGTAATGGGAGTGTAGAGCATGGTAAGTGGCAGGCATTTTCCGCACTGGAGGATTATTGATCAGGAGGAACCTCCTCCTTTTTTCAAACAGCGCCGTGGGATCTTTAACGTCCACCTGAAGATACAGGCAAGCGCAACGGCGGGTTAATCCGAAGGATAGGGTCAGTGGAGGCGCTGCTTCATTCTGCAATGTCAGACTGGGTGGGAGCTCGATTGTGTTGCTCTGGGGCTTGAACCCACAATCCTCTGATCTAGACACAAGAGTGCTACTAACTGAGCCCTGCTAGCGCTTGCTGTGGAGGGCAGTACCTCTGTGAAATTCAATGAGTCCTGTAGCGTGTTGGTTAGAGCATTCGCCTCGCAAGTGAAAGGACCCGGGTTCGATTCCCGGGAAGGGCGAAACCTTAGGCAAGTTTCCTTACTCCACAGGCGCCTCTGCTTACCAGCAGTAAGTAGGAACCCGATTGTTAGTCGATTGGCAGATCGCTTTCTGGGCGGTAATAATCCCTCCCAAAAAAATGTATAGATTAATATATAGTGTGGTCACACAATTCATAACTGTTAGTGGGGACGCTGCTGTGCGCAATTAGCTGCTGCTTTTCGCCCACAAAATGAACAGTCGCTGCACTTTACAGTATATTCTGTGAAGAGCTTTACAGCGTCTCAACGATGTGATCAGGCGCTATATCAAATTCAAGGATTATTAATATTATTATTATAATAAATGCATCCCTCGCTTGCTGCGCAGGAAAGCGAGACTGGGGTTAGTTTGTGCACCGGTCTGTCTCTGCTGTGGATTCTGTTCACGATCCAGGGGCCGGGGCCGGTTGGAGGGACAGATGAGGGTAAAGGAGGTGGGCCAGCTGTTGAGCAGAGCGAGAGCCATCACACCGAGGAGCCTGCTCCCAATTAGGCATAAAGAATGTTGCACATTCGCTGTAATTCAAGAGGATTAATGACAGCTTTATGTGGTATGAGCCACAGTGGAAGGATTACAGCTTCTCGCACCATCTGATCACAGCGATGCCCGGTGCTACGGTAACGCACGGTGACAGCCATTAACATTAATGGGATGTTACACAGTGTGCCACACGCACACACACACACATACACACACACACCCGTCGCCCAGCGAGCAGACAGAGGCTCCCAAACCCCAAACGATCTGGGAAGCTTCCAGAAGATTAACCGTTTGGCAGTGGGAAAGAACGGCTCAGCGGTGATCCCGAAAGATTCTAATCTTTGTGCCTGTCTTCTTAAAGAATGGCGAACGTTTCTTTCAAATCTCTTTTAAAGTCGTGTTTCTTCCAGTGACCTTTTAAAAAGCGGATGCGGTCACTTCAACCCGCGGCTGTTTGCGGGGACCCTGCTGTGCGCAATTGGCTGCCACGTTTCGCCCGCAAGATATACAGTTAATTCGCTTTGCAGTGTATCCTGTGACGAGCTTTGAGACGTCTCGAAGTCGCGATATGGCGAGATATTAAATGCAAGGATTATTATTATTATTATTAACATTTCAACCCTCCTATCTCACCAACTTCATTCTGAACTCATCGGACTCGGTTTGCTTTCTATTGGGGATGGTTCTACGGCACCACCACCAACCCCCCACCCCCCACCCACACACCCACACAAAAACAGCCCAGACAGATAGTGTCAACAGACTACTCAGCTGCAGGAGATGGAGCATCAAAACACACACGCACCCGCGCACAACACACGTGCGAGATGCACACATAATAATATAATAATAATAATCCTTGCATTTGATATAGCGTTTTTCACGTTTTCTCGACGTCCCAAAGCGCTTCACAGAATAGACCTTAAAGTGAATTGACTGTATATTTGTGGGCGAACGCGACAGCCAATTGCGCACAGCAATGTCCCACAAACAGTCGTGGGTTGAAAATGACCAATTTATTATTGTTTTGTTTTTTTGGAGGGATTATTATTAGGCTCTGTGTGGAGTAAGGAAACTTGCCCAAGGTTTGGCCCTCTGCCTGGAATTGAACTCAGATCTCTCGCTTGCAAAGCGAGTGCTCTAACCACTGAGCTACAGGGCTCCACATACGCAGGCTGAGAAACAATTGGCACATAGGAGAAAGAGAGACGCACACACATGAGACAAACACACCTATTCCCATTCATTTGGTTAACATTTTTAGTGTGGAGTCCCGTAGCGTAGCTGGTGGTTACAGCGCTCGCCTCACATGCAAGAGGACCCGGCTTCGATTCCTGGACAGGGCAAAATCTTAAGCAAGTTCCCTTATTCAACATGCCTCTGTTTGCCTAGCATTTAGCATTGTTAGTCGATTGGCAGAGCGCTATCCAGTGTTAATTAACTCTCAAAAAAAATTGGGTCACTCAATCCACGACTGTTTGTGGGACACTGCTGTGGGCAATTGTCTGCCAAGTTTCGCCCCCAATATACAGTCAATCCACTATATTCTGTGAAGCTCTTTAAAACATCTCAACGATGTAGTAAGGCGCTTTATCAAATGCAAGTATTATTATTATTGGGTCGTTATCACTCTGTCAGTTATCACTCTGTCAGCTCTGTCATCACATCTCGCAGTGTCGTTCTCAGTGTTGTGGCCAACAATTTATTTTTTCGTATCATTTATTTTTATTGGTGAGCGAGGTTAGACCTGCTCACCCGCCATTAACCAATGTAGACCGAAACTTTTCACTGAACCATGTATTCACTACCACTCGAGCAAATCCGGTGACCGGATAGCCTCTCTGGCAGGAGGACATTGTGATCGTGATCATGGTGTCTCTTGAGGTTTCTCCCCTGCCAGGTAAGATAAATTGGCCATGGCTGTGCGCGAGATCTTTGTAATGCACACATATTAGTTGCTGTTCTGCCCTTTAGCTGCAAAGTGTTTTGAGACATTATGAGGTTATAGCTGGTACATCAAATTCAAAGGGCTGCTAATTCACCTGCTCGAGAGACAGCTGCTGTGTTTGACGCAGTGTGTGGTGGTGCCGGAGACCGGGTCGATGAATCCCTTTGCAGCGGAAGCTTGGCCTGTGAGATCGACCCACAAGGAGATCTCGATACCCAGGGTCTGCCTTGGCACGATGCTAAAGGTCTTTGGTGACAGTCTAGAAGAAAGCAATAAGAAATATACNTTTTTTCTCTCTGGCAAACTTCTCACTTCTTACCCGGAGTGCCAGCGGATTGTTTCAATTCAACAACAATAACAAATTACATTTCCATAGCGCCTTCCACGTCGGAAGTGACGTCCCAAAGCGCTGACATTCAGACATTCCAGGTACTTCACCTATTTATTATTATTAATCAAAACGCAAAATACTGCAGATGCTCGAAACAGATACAGATAAAGATGCTGCAGACCCTGTTCTGATGAAGCGTCATGGACCCGAAACGTTGACTCACTTTCCTTTCTCCATAGATGCTCCCTGAGTGTTCCCAGCGACTTCAGTTTCTGTTTTCTATTGTTATTAATCACCGTTTTGCCAACTCAGCTCCAGGTAGACCCCATTTACCAACCCCCAACCCCCCTCCCCCCATCCCACTCCAAGAGGTCATGTCGCAAGTTACTCATATACGAGTCGGTTTGTGGATATCCGACAGGCCCCAGATTTGAGCCCTCAGTGCGTGGGTAGCAGATACCAGCAACTCTTTGCAAAGATCTTGTTGGGCACCACAACACAGAGCTCACACACCTCTAATCCCTATTGGAGGTGCCATGAGTTCACTGATCTTTATTCAAGCATTTTTCCACTTTTCTTTCAAATGCAACTTGGTCCTCACCTTCAAAGCCATCCATGGACTTGCTCCCCTCTACTTCTGTGACCTCTGAACTCCCTACCATCCTGCCCGCTCCCTCCACTCAGCGGGCTCTGGCCTGCTTTACCTTTGGCGGCCGGGCCTTCTGCCGCTCTGCCTCCACCCTCTGGAACTCCATCCCGCAGTCCCTCCATCTCACCCCGTACCTTGCCTCCTTCAAGACCCATCTCAAGACCCTCCTCTTCGACCCTGCTTCCCCGCCTGCCCTCCACCCTCCCCAATCCCGACCCGAGGCTCAGTTCCGAAACTTTGACTATCCAGCGACTTGGGACATCCTCCCGATGTGAAAAGCGCTATACAAATGTAATTTTGTTGTTGTAGGAACTTAGAAACATAGGAGGAGGAGGAGGCCATTCAGCCCCTCAAGCTTGTTCTATCGTTCTATTAGATCATGGCTGCTCTGTACCTCAATTCCAAATTCTATATGGTAAACTTCTCCGGATTTCGAGAGAGCAATCAATGAATGCTTCATGCAGTGAGGGTTACTCACCGGTCCCAACCTCCAGAGGTTTTATCTTCTCTTCAAAGTCCATTGTCTTCTCACGTTTCTGTAATGTCAGAAGCTTAACACTAGCAACAGAGCAAACGCAGCCGGAATCAGGGTTTTACACAAACAGTTCCGATTCACGAGAGGTTTGGACGAAAAAGGCCCTTCAACCCGTGAGAAAATAGGCCGATCAAATGGCTCTCAGAGGAGATCTTATATGGAGATATATCAAATTGGATTGAGAAAGCAAGCACAAGGCAATATTTTCACATACTCCAAAGCAGTGGCTTCAGATTCATCTTTGTGAAGGACAATTCCGAGACAGACACCAGGAGCTACTTCCTTACACAGCAGTGAATCAACAGTTGTAACAGGTTCATTGAGAACAGGATGCTGGACTCCTTTGAAGGAACATAGGAATAGCTAGGTGACACCTACTCAAATTACTCATATACTGCACTGTATCCCAAAATATTATTTTGTAAAGGAAACCCATATAATTTACATTTGAATGAATCAACACTACCTGCTTCCAGTGTCGTAAGCCTTTTCCATTTGCCCACTAAAAGGATTTGGAGCCACAGAACCTCATGGGACAATGAAGCCCAAGTTGGCCAAACATTGCCTGGTGGCACCTCTCACAGGGAGCTCCAGACACAGAACAGAAATTACATTTGCATGTGGCACTCACTTTAATATGAGTCGAGTCAGGATCAAATCTCTCTAGGATGATCTTGGCCATCTTATACGTCTCAGTCTCCATAATATCTTCAAGCTACAGAGAAGGGTAGTGAGACAGGAGAGTAAGATAGAGAAGAGAGAGCGGTCAACCATTACGGACATCTTCACTAGATAATGATTATTACAACTTTTCAATAGCAAAACCACTTGGCTTTTTGTTATGAAGGGCTTTGCGGTTTTACTGGGATGCATTTGGCTTTGCTTGTCTCAAGAGTTATGAGGAAATACTGCTGTGGTCTTATCTAGCTTGCAACAGCTATTTCATCAGACACGGGGTCATACTGCAGTCAGAATGCAGGTAAATTTATTACAACGTGGAACGCAAAAAATAAATTTAACGTGCAAGGCGACATACATTGAAGAATCGCCCCGTGGCTTCCATTCATAATCTCTGAGAAATAACTCATCTGTAATTCAGCCTTTCAGCGCTGATCGCCTCTGGCAGTTTAACTGGAGATGGCTTTGTGTAAAAAATGATTTGATGGGAATTTCAGCTCACTTTTCTTATCAAGCAATAATGGGGCTGGCATTCTGCTCATCGGTAAGTCCAGTGACGTCTCACGAGGTAACACTTAGCACGTGCGGAACTCAAGTGGGTCCACACTGGACTGGGGAAAGTACAACCAACAGCAATTAAGGTGTCAGCTCGGCTCAGTGGGTAGCGCTCTCAATGGCAAGCTATGCAGTTTCAGAGCAGTGCCCCACACTTAATAAAAGCAATTTCAGTTTGAAGAGCTTGAAATGTCAACATAGCAAAGGACTACGTGGAGTCCTGTAGCGTATTGGTTAGAGCACTCACCTCGCAAGCGAAAGGATCCGGGTTTGATTCCCGGTCAGGGCAAAACCTTAGGTAAGTTTCCTTACTCCGTGCACACACCTCTATTTACCCAGCAGTAAGTAGGACCAGGTAGTTAGTCAATTGGCAGATTGCTTTCCGGGGATAATAACCTCTCAAAAAAAAATTGTGGTCATTCAATCCACGACTGTTTGTGGGACATTTCTGTGCTCAATTCGCTGCCACGTTTTGCCCACAAAATATACAGTCAATTCACTTTGAAGTATATGTTGTGAAGTGCCTTGAGACGTCTCAACGACATGATAAGGCGCTATATCAAATCCAAGGATTATTATTATTATAAATATATATTTTGCGTGGAGCTGGTCTAAACAGACCAGGTTTGTGGTGTATTTACAGCACCGGTTTTACAGTAAGCTCACAGTGATGCTTGGTGTTGTAACTCATGATGAATAAATAATGGAAGATTCATCGCACAGCACAGCCTGAGCGCTCGCTCCGACTTGGGGAGTGTCCCGTTTGCTCACATTTGCCTTTCATCCCAATCATTCTTGGCTTTAATGGTTATATAAAATTTTATTGTAATAATCTGAGTTATGGTTGTGTTCTTAAACCAGCATGATCGCACGCTGCCAAAGTACACCACAAATGTCACCACAGCAATAAACACACATTAACATTGTCGTCAGATGGCTTCTCAGGGCCACTCTGCAAGGAGTTTACTTTGGATGCTGTTAAGACAAAAGGAGCTAATGGAGTCTGTACATTGATATCTTACTGCTGTCAAAGGACTGCAGATCTACGAGCATGTCAAACATCTGCTACGTAGCAGGTAAGAAGTGCATTCATTGCTGCCTGGTACTGTACAGCTCTTGTGCACATCATAATAACAAGCCTTGCATTTGATATAAACTTGCAGCACAGAAGGCAGCCATTCGGCCCATCGTGTCAACAATGACGCCGCATTATATCGCGCGATAACGCCGAAATGTCTCAAAGCACTTCAAGGGACGAGTGTAGTGACTGTAGACGAACGCAACAGCCGTTCTGCTCGCAGCAAGAATGGGAAATATATCTGGCGAATTGCTGGTCAAGATACTGGAAAAAATGTACTTCTCTTTTCCAATCGTGCCATGGAAACAGGCAGATGGGACCTTGTGACAGGGATATCTTCACCCACAAACAGGCGCTGACTGACCCAATACTACAACAACAAAATTGCATTTTTAAAGCACCTTTCATGTTGGAAGGACATCACAATACGCTGGACAGTCAGTGTTTCGGACCCAAGCTGGGGGTAGGGATTCAGGAGTGTGGAGGGCAGGGGGGAAGGAGGGTGATTGAAGGCACAGTCGAAGAGGTGGGTCTTAATAATAATAATCCTTGCATTTGATATAGCGCCTTATCGAGTCTTCGAGACGTCTCAAAGAGCTTCACAGAATATATTGTAAGTAAATTGACTATATTTTGTGGGCGAAAATAGGCAGCCGATTGCGCACAGCAGCGTCCAACAAACAGTCGTTGATTGAGCGGCTCCATTTTTTTTAATTTTTAGAAGGGAAAGTGATCTGCCAATCCACTAACAACCGGTTTCCTACTACTGCTTGGTAAACATGTGAAGTAAGCAAACTTGCCTAAGGTTTTGCCCAGGAATTGAACCCGGGTCCTCTTGTTTGCGAGGCGAGTTAGTTACAAGACTCCACAGTAATAACGGCATTGTTGGCTAGACAGCAATATCGATCTGAAACCATCCCTGTCTTTCATTGAGGGAAGGAGAAAGAGAGCAGGTAGGTCGGACCAAGAAAATCTTCTTCCCCCCGGGGTTTATATGGCCAGTATTATTTGATAATGATGTTAGCTGGAATGCAGCTTTAAACTGAAATGAAGTTTCCCTGCCTTCCATTGCATCAAGTGACATAAAGGCTGGGGAAAATGAACTGGTACAGAGAAGTGGTTTACAATCACTTGTGGGTAGCGAGTGGCTGGAGAGTCTGTTCATAGCCTCGCTGGCTTCTAATTGGACCTAACCTGATAAAACACTTCATAAAAGGCAGCAGCTGCCGCGCTCATCACTCACTTGGCAACAAGTAGCGTGTAAAACAGCATTAGTTTTTAATCACAGCGCACGAGTGGAGGCAGTTGTTTGATGCGGCACAAACTCGAGATTATGAATGACTGCGGCCCCAGCCGGTGTCAAGGGGGCACTTTTACTGCCCGTCTCTTTGGGAACTCAAAGCCTGTGCCCGCTTCCTCTCTCCCGTTCCCAGCACGCATTGCCCCCGGCCAGGACGGTTTTGATTTCCATCCTGACTTTTTACAGATTTCTGATCTGTTTGTACAGGAGTAATAGCACGATGTGTCTCACTGTGTGGAGTTTGCTTGCTTGCTATAGCTCGCCTTGCAAGCGAGAGGACCCAGGTTTGACTCCTGGCAGGGCGAACGAAACCTTAGGCAAGTTTCCTTACTCCACACAACTCTGTTTACCTAGTAGTAAGTAGGAAACTGGTCATTAGTCGATTAGCGGATCACTTTTCTGGAGGAAAAAATCCCTCCCCACCAAAAGAAAATTGGTCACTCAATCCACAATTATGCACAATTGGCTGCAGTGTTTCACCCACAAAATGCACAATCACTTCACTTTACAATATGTTCTGTGAAGCGCTTTGAGACGTCTCAACGACGTGATAAGGTGGTATACCAAATGGAAGGGTTGTTATATTATTATTATTATTGCTTTGCAGTGTGAAGGTAATCCGCTGAGTAACTGTCTGTGCTGACGCTGTCGCTGTTTATCAAGTGGTGGAGGGTTACTCAAATTCACTGAAGATGAAATGTACTCACTAGATTCTTTTTCTGTTTCTTTAGCAACTCGAGAGCATTGTCTGAAAGAATAAACAGGCACAAGTTCACTGATCCCTGGACAAGTAACAAAAGGGCGCAAATTAAAGATAATCACGATTGGTGGGGGATTAACAATTAACAATTATTAGAATTCTGAACTCCCTAAACCATAAATGACTGTGGAGCCGAACCTGTGAATGCACTTAAAAGGAAAGTAAATGAATCCGTGAGTAAAAATAATATTGAAAGATTTTTGGGGTAAAGAGCAAGGGCATAGGAGGAGGAAACAGCGCCAACAGTGAGCGAGCACCAGCTCCGACACTATTAGACCAAATGACCACCCTTCATTGCTGTAAGCTTCCTATGATGTTAGATATTGTTGATGGTAAAACCTGGAAAGGTTACACATAAACACTGCCCAGTGTGAAAGGTTCTTCCATGGCTTACAATCATAAATAATAATCCTTGCATTTGATGCACCGCCTTATGACTTTTTCGAGCATTCCAATACTATGGACATTCCTCCATCTTTGAGAGGCGCAAACACTCGACGACTGACGAGTGAATCTATTCTGAAAATGCCTGGACCCATTGAAGCTTCTCCCTTACTTGGCCTGTTCTTCCCTGTGGTGTGATCCATTACAGATCTGCTGTCACTAGATGGCAATGCTGCGCTGCGCTGGCGAAGCACAGTAGCAGCATCTAGTGGCAGCTAATAGTTACTGTACCAGCGGTCTCAAATCTACAAGTCCTCTCGTGGTCTGAGAATAATAATAATAATCCTTGCATTTGAGTTGAGACGTCTCAAAGCACTTCACAGCAAAATGCCGTAGCCAATTGCACATAGCAGTGTCCCGCAGAGGCGGACTGAGTGACCAATTTTTCTTTCATAAGAACATAAGAATTAGGAGCAGGAGTAGGCCATTCGGCCCTTCGTGCCTGTGCTCCGCCATTCAATAAGATCATGGCTGATCTTCTCACCTAACTCTGATTACCTGCCCTATCCCCATATCCCCTAATCCCTCTATTTTTCAAGAATCTATCAGTCTCAGCCTTGAAAATGTTCAAGGACTGAGCATCTACAGCCTTCTGGGGGAGTGGATTCCATAAGTTCACTACCCTCTGAGTGAAGAAATGTTTCCTCAACTCTGTTCTAAAAGGCTGACCCTTAATTTTCAGACTGTGACCCCTGGTTATAGATTCTCCTACCGGGGAAACAGACCCTCAGTGTCTACTTTATCAGCCCTTTAAGAATCTTATAAGTTTCAATAAGATCTCCCCTAATTCTTCTGTACTCTAGAGAATACAGGCCTAGTTTATTCAGCCTCTCCTCACAGGTCAGTCCCCTCATCCCAGGAACTAACCGAGTGAATCTACGCTGCACCCCCTCGAGGGCA